GCACATCGGGAAAAATAACCCCAACTATATGTACAGTATGATGGGGGCTAATTTGGCTACAACAAATCAGGGAAGAGATCTTGGAGTTATTGTGGACAATTCTCTGAAAACTTTCACGCAGTGTGCAGCGGCGGTCAAAAAGGCAAATAGGATGCTAGGAATTATTAAGAAAGGGATAGAAAATCAGACCCAGAATATCTTACTACCCCTGAATAAAACTATGGTACGCCCACATCTTGAATACTGTGTACAGATGTGGTCTCCTCACCTCAAAAAAGATATTTTGGCCTTGGAAAGGGTTCAGAAAAGGGCAACTAAAATGATTAGGGGTTTGGAACGGGTCCCATATGAGGAGAGGTTAAAGCGACTGAGACTTTTCAGTTTAGAAAAGAGGAGACTGGGGGGGTATAATAGAGGTCTATAAAATCATGAGTGGTGTGGAGAGGGCCGATAAAGAAAAGTTATTTATTAGTTCCCTAAATAGAAGAACTAGAGGACACCAAATGAAATTAATGGGTAGCAAGTTTAAAACTAATAAAAGAAAGTTCTTCTTCACATAGCATGTAGTGAACCTGTGGAACTCCTTGCCAGAGAAGGCTGTGAAGGCTAGGACTATAATAGATATTAAAGAGAAGCTAGATAATTTCATGGAGGTTAGGTCCATAAAAGGCTATTAGCCAGGGGATAAAATGGTGTCCTTGGCCTCTGTTTGTCAGAGGCTGGAGAGGGATGGCAGGAGACAAATCACTTGATCATTGTCTTCGGTCCACCCTCTCTGGTGCACCTGGTGCTGGCCACTGTCGGCAGACAGGATACTGGGCTAGATAGACCTTTGGTCTGACCCAGTATGGCCGTTCTTATGTTCTTAGTGCCTCCTCCGGGGCCGACTCCCCTTCCAGCAGAGTAGGGAAGCCTCGGCGCGTGCCTCCTCTGGGGACTCCCCCCAGCAAGTTCCAGCATGCCACAAACCTGAGGGAGGGGAGCAGCCCGCACACTTCCAGAACCCCCGGAAGTGGCACACAGCTGCAGGACTTCTGTCCACCCCACAGGAAGCTGGCATTACCTCCATTTTCACTGGAGGTAGATAGTGGGGCTTCTCGGTGGTGGGGGAGAAATGGAGGAGCCCCGAACGCCTCGCAATCAACCAGTCGAGCCCTCGCGATCGACCAGTTGGTGACCATGGCTCTAGACCAGTGTTTCTCAACCAGTGGTACGAGTTCCCTCAGGGGTACTTGAGAGAAGTCTGGGGAGTACATCAACACAACTGAAATTTGGAGAAAACTGAATTTTTGTTTTAAGTTTTAACGCACTTTATTATTTTTGTACTTTTTACACCCAAAAATTTAATCACCCTGCCAGCTACAATTAAGTTGTGGTAAACAAATGTGTTGCAATGGTAGAAGAAAAAATTGAAAACTGTAGGTACTGGGGGTACTTATAATTTTTTTTTTTTTTTTAAAAGTATACTTTATTAAAAAAAAGGTTGAGAAACACTGCTCTAGACTTCCTATCTCAATTGTTTCCTACGGAAAGTTTTAGAACAGGGGTGAGGAACATGGGGAGTGTCTTTCTCCTTCTCAGTTGGGGGCCACATCAGTGAGAGTTTGTTTTGGATTTTTTTGGGTTTTCTATTTGTTTTTTTTTGCTTTTCACTTGTGTGCGGCCCCTGAATGATTGTTTACTGTGGTTCACAGCCCCCAATCCAAAAAGGTTCCCCCACCTGTTTTAGAGTGAGCTTTGACACCACTTTTGTTCTGTCCTTAGTAGTCTAATCAGCCCATTGTAAATTAGCCTCTATCACATGTCCTCTGTATCTCTTCTGCATAACTAAATGTACTATGGAGGCACTGACCGTGATTCTTCAAACATATAATTCAGTCAATTTCAATACACCAGCGTTTCTTAAAGCATGTTCCGTGATACACCGGTGTGCCACAGAGAACAGATTTCAAAATGGCCGCCCTTAAAGGGACAAGCCTCCTTTTTTTAAAAACATTTATTTATTTATTTTCGCTCAACAACTTTTCCCTGGGGAATGGCCACCCTTAAAATGGCAAGCCTCCTTTCTCCCCCTCCCCCCAACAACTTTTCCCTGGGGGCTTCCCCTCCCCCCCCCAAAAAAAAAAAATCCTTGGTGATCCCAATAAAAAAAAATTATTATTTAATGTTCCTCAGTCTTAAAAAGTGTAAGAAACACTGGTCTACACTGTTCAGTTTACAGTGCTAAAGCCTTGCTACTATAAAATATGCAATGTACTCACCCTGCCAACAGAAGAGAGCTCTTCTTTGCTATTAAAATAAAGCCACCCCCAATTAAAGGGGTAACTGTCATTGGGAGAGCACCTCCCATCAACAAAGCGTTGTCCATGACAGCGCTTTTTCCATTGTAACGCCTGTCCATCAGGGATATTTTTATACCAATAAAAATGTTTATTACAACACTGTAGTTTAGACATAGCCTTAGACATAAGTTTAGTCATTTTTCCCCCTCAATAGCTAT